CCCCCTCGGGCCGCGGCTCATCACGCCATCTCCGATCGCGGCTGGACTCTTAGGCAGGAAATCACCGTCGCCAGCAAATTCCGTGGCAAATATCTTTCCATCATGCCGTTGGGTAAGAGCGCTTGACAACACGAAGCAAAGCGGCGCCTCCTTTCTGGCGTGTTCATAACCATCCCCGTGACCCGCCACATCCCAACAGGGACCATTCACGCCATTTTTGACAAGGGCAACAATCACTACACGTGGAAGAAAGTGACCACCACAGTGCACAACATCATCGTTGGGAAACTCTGGATCGACCAGGTGAGATTCCAAAGCATCCTTTTCTCCCAAATGTTTAAGCTGAGAAAATCACAACAGACATTTAAGTGTCTCATTGAAGCACAGATGCCTGTCTGACGGAATTATTGAGATATTGAATTAGTCTTTTTCTGTGTTTGTTCCTAATTTTTAGAGTTTAAATTTTTAATTAAGGGGACTTATTCAAAGGAGCAAATTTTTTTCCCCCATTTTATTGTTCGTGCATTTCTGGCTAGTGGTGATGGTTACAAATGTCCTCTCTAATCTTAGTCGGGAGAGATCGATGTGGTGAACCACACAACAGGAGACCGCTGCCATTTGAAATTTGCACCTTACAGTTACTTTTCCAGAGATGTGGCCAGAAAGGTGAGAATTGCATTTTTTTTTTGTTGTTGTCGTCGTTGTGTTCTTTTGTTCCTTTGGTGCCATCTGCTCACGATGACTGTCCTCTGCCACCGTTCCCCTCAGGTGACCGGTGTGGTCATGGATAAGGATGGCAAAGCCCACTACGTGCTGTCGGGAACCTGGGACGAGAAGATGGAGTTCTCCCGCGTGATGCAAAGCAGCCGCGGCGGGGAGAACGGCTCCGAGGGCAAACAGAAGACCGTCTACCAAACCCTGAAAGCCAGAGAGGTGTGGCGGAAGAACCCTCTGCCGTAAGTGTGTGGGAAGATCATCGGAATCACGGGATACATTAGAGAAAAGGCAAATGAGGAATTTGGTGAATATTCCTTGCTTTCTGAAGCCCATATAGACGTGAAGAAAGGCATGTATTTCCCGTGCGGCGTTTATTCAAGTGCACCCACCGCTAACGCTCTGTTCGAGTGCAAGCTTCTCTTTGAGGACATCTGGCTACCTCACTCAAGTAACCTGGACGATTTGTCATCTCTGCTGGTCCACAGTGAACGCGCCGAGACCATGTACTACTTCACTACCTTGGCGCTCACTCTAAACGAGCCCGAGGAGCCCGTGGCGCCCACGGACAGCCGGCGCCGGCCCGACCAGCGGCTCATGGAGGACGGTCACTGGGACGAGGCCAACAGCGAGAAACAGCGGCTGGAGGAGAAGCAGCGCATCGCCCGGCGCGAGCGCGAGAGGGAGGCTCTCAGCCAGCGCGCCTTCGGCCACCCTGATGAAGGTTGGGCCCCGTTCCTTCCAAAAATACCCTTTACTTCCTCTCCAATCGGGGATAGGGCACTCCTTCCATCATTTCTGCTTATTTATGGCCAATTTCAGGCTTTCATTTAGAGATGAGCTGTCCAATTGCTACTGAATTTGAAACGCACACACACCAGATCGGTCAATGCTCGTCACCCTCTTCCCTGCATTTTTTTTCTCCCAAGTTGTGTCCCATTTTCATTGTGAACCCTTTTACAATGTGGCGCATGGCAGTAAAATCCTGGGGGGGACTAAAGGGGATGAGTAAAGTAAGGGGTTAAAAAAAAAAAAAAAAATGGCAGTAAAATCCTGGGAGGGACTAAAGGGGATTAGTAAAATAAGAGGTTAAAAAAAAAAAAAATCCATGTTGCAATTCTCTTTTTCAAAAGCTGTCGATGAGGATTCTCGAAACGATCCATCGATGAAAAGCAAGTATTCCTTCCTTCTCCTGTCTCCTTCCCGCAGTCGCTTCCGTCCCATCTGGGGTTTCCGCTCCTTCACTCACGCAGATTTTTCGTTCTCCCCAGGCGCACCTCACGATCTCTACAAGGCACTTTGGTTCGAGCGCTGCCAGGACCGAATCACTGGTGAGCAGGTCCACATCTATAAGGGCGGCTACTGGGAAGCTAAAGAGCGCGGCCACTGGGAGGGCTGCCCAGACATATTTTGACCACCGACTGAACCCGGTTAAAGAAACAGAAGGAGGAAAAAAAAAGAAGCTCCCCCGTAGGTTCTCTGTTCTAAGAGACCTCCAGGACGGTGGTAGGCCCTCAAGCTTGTCGTGAGTAGTGCTTCCTTCCACATCCATCTCTCAAATTTGTGCGATCAATCGGTGGCCTTTATGAAGACAATTTATTTCTGGTTTCTCTGATGATTTGTGTCTTAACGTCACGTCGCTTAATGTGCGACTATGTGTGTTTGGGTGGTTGGGTGTGTGTGTGTGGAGTGTGCTGGGAGACGGGGTGTTATCTTGTTCAACTGTGATAGAATAGTCTCTCCTCCTCGCCTTTGACAACCTGTGCTCACTTGTCAGAAAAATGTGTGAGTGAACTGGACGCTCAGGTTTTAATATGGTTGGAAGTAAAAGAAGGCCGAAGTGATTATTATTATTATTTTTTTTTTAAAGAGAAATACTTGTTTTATGGTGTGAAGAATAGACACATTTAAAGTAAATGCAATGCTGATTTAAGAAAAAAAAATGCATATGCAAGCACATGGTGACACCAAAAAAGTGTTTCGTCTTTTTTTTTTTCTCCTTGTCGTTTGTAAGTGTACTTAATCAAGACAAAGAATCTAAAAAAAAACGGATTTTATAAACGTATAATAATGTCTGGAAAACAGTGAGGCATTTTTCTGTTGTTTCATGTCACCAAAAAGGGAGATTTCACGCTCGACCGAAACATAACAACATTGTTTGCGATTTTGTATCCAGGACGAGGAAATCTTGAATAAACGCTGTCATGTCAAACAAATAGCTTTTGATTACTTTTATTTTGTTATGCATGCAATGTGGAAAAATGTTTCACCATTCCAGCTGTACTCCGTTCAAACCACGTAGCAAAATGTCACATCCATTTACTGTTTTCCCGCCTTGCTATTGAAATGATGCGTCTTTATGTGAAACTCGAGCATAAGTCTGGTCTCTCTGTGTAAAACTTGCGTGTTTCAAAAAACAAAAAAAAAAATAATTGAAATGATGCGTCTTTATGTGAAACTCGATCATAAGTCTGGTCTCTCTGTGTAAACCTTGCGTGTTTCAAAAAACAAACAAAAACAAAAAAAAATCATCCCAGATGGTTTTGATGACAAGGTAGATGACAATGGACGGAAATGGGATTTTTTTGGGATTTGTTGTGGTGTCCTCTGCGCTCATACTCCATACTCCATACTCCACTTCCTGTCTTGATTTTTATCATAGCAGCTATTCACGGTTGTTGGCAAGTCACATTGCCCCTCACACTTTCTGTGCTCAGACACCACATTGACACAATGAACAGTCCCAATCCATGTACTCTTAACGGTCTCCATACTCCACTTCCTGTCTTGATTTTTATAATAGCAGCTATTCACGGTTGTTTGCAAGTCACATTGCCCCTCACACTTTCTGTGCTCAGCTTGCTTTCTGTTAGTCTTTTAAATCAATAGTACCCTGTGTGCAAACAGTATAACGGGGGGGAAAAAATCTTATCGAGCAGGCTCAGTGCTTTTCTTTTTTTTTTTTTTAACTTGTGTTGCTATCATTCTCAGATAAATACAGGATAGAATGTAAAATCCTGATCGATCTGCTGTAGTGCTTTTTATACTTTGTACTGCCTTCCCATCCCACATCTGGAGTTGATTAAATAAATGACCCCCGCCCCCTCCCTGTCACTATTGTTTGCCAAACGGATGATGTCATACTCCACTGAGCTTGCGACCTCATCTGAAGGGTAAATCATTAAGTCTCCCTGCTTTGGCGTCTGATACCGTCCCGGGACACACCCTGCCTGCGATGCAGCGCAATGCGTGCAAAAGCCAGAGTGCTGACTCAGGGAAAGTGGTGTGAAAGCCCGGCGAAAGGGTGCAACGGGAAAACGGCCGGGTGAGAGGGGAGAGAAAGGTAACGGCGGCGGGTGGAGCAGGTGAGAGACGATTCCTACGTCTTCATTTGGGATCTTTTGGATGCCGAATAGTCATTAGTTTCAACAATTTGTAAAGTGTTCCACTTCCACCAGCAAATTACGACCAACGGGTAGACCAAAGCTCATTTGCATGCGGTACAATCAGATGGAGGTCCGTCTACCGAGCTTGTCTCGGGTCGCTGTCTGCGGCGGTACCCATGGCAACGAGCTCTCCGGGGTCTACTTGGTCAGGGAGCTGATGAGGACAGCGACGGGCGCTGAGGCGGGAGGGGACGTGTCCGTGCGGGCGGTGCTGGCAAACCCGCGTGCCACCCGGCTGGGCCGACGATACCTCGACACCGACCTGAACCGATGCTTCACCCACGCCGCCCTCAAGTAAGACTGCTGCACTTGTTCTCTCTATTCCAAAGTGTCCCGTCCTACCTATTCTGTACTGAAGTTCTTTGAAATAGCAGCCGACTGCTGGCTTATCGCCTGGCCTGCAGTATAATGCTTATGTTGTGATCTTAGTTGTCTGCTAGAATTCCAATTGTCCACATATTGCCAACCCTCGTGAGGATAAGCGCTACGGATAATGGATGGATGGATGCGCATGTCATCATTGAATCAGTCCTTCATGTGACACTGATTTCTTCCCATCTTTTGTCCGTGGTCGTCACCCTCAGCGGGCCCTTGTCCGATGCGCCCCCCTACGAGATGACCCGAGCCCGGGAACTGGACGCCCTGCTGGGGCCCAAAGGGAGTCCGCGAGCTGTGGATCTCGTCTGCGACCTCCACAACAGCACGTCCAACATGGGCCTGTGTGTCATCGCTTTCTCCGACTGTGACTGGATCTGCTTGCATGTGTTCCGATACCTGCAGGTATGCCCCGAAAAAATCTATTTTACGCGTGAATACATTTATTTTACTTATGAGAATATATGTTGACGTTCACCTTCCATGTTTTTCCAGCGGCAGATGCCAGACATACCAGTGAGGTACATACATTTGGACGTCCCCGACGAGGAGTCATTTTCTCTTGATTCAGTGGGAAAACATGGTTTCGGTACGTGTTATTTTTGCATGAATGCGTTCATGGTACAGTGAACCCCCACCTATTTACAAATTCACCTGCAACGGATATGCAAACGGTGGGGCAACACATTTAGACAGATATGACAATACTCATAGGCATATATGACTAATATTACACCATCTGAAATCTTTCAATGCCAGCCATTAAAAAAAGAGAACCTATTAAGTGCCAACCAATTTATAAAATTCTGACTGATCTTTCAAAGCTCACAGGCTGTGTGAACACAGAAACTACCAAATGAAAGGATAGACTTCTTTCATCACACAATAAGTGTGTTTCGACTTTATTCCTCCTTACAGTGATCAGCAGAAGAATGGTTTGCTTTCACCCAAAATCACATATTTTGGACCAAAAAATGCAGAAAACAAGGTTTTTTTGAAAAGATTGCTTTTGTGACTACATGTAAACAGTCCTTCTGTAAAACACCAGAAAATGTGCATCGCAAAATAATGTATTTACAAATAATCATCCATATAACAGTTTTACATTTGAGCTATTTGTAGGCTGTCTACTAGTAGTAGTTGTAATTAGTAGTGTGTGTGCGTGCATAGTGCCGTGTGTGTGTGTGTGTGTGTGTGTGTGTGTGTGTGTGTGTGTGTGTGTGTGTGTGTGTGTGTGTAGGTGTGTACATTATGTCATTGCATTTATTTCAAAATATAAATCGTCATATTTTCTGTCTTCATTAGTCACAGTCTTTGTACTAGATTGACGAATGACTAATACTTGGATTAATCACAAAATGATTGTAACGGTGTAAATTCCAGAGTACTAATATCATCCAGGAAGAGACCCCATGCTGCCATCTGTTGGCCATAGTTATTATTTTTTTAACTTCCCCATTTTAATGATCAAATCAGTCGGCCAAGACTTTTCAGGGATCTGGAATGGATTAATCTCATTTCCTATCGTTTTAAAATGGAAAGATGAATCGAGTTCAGAGAAGTCGCACCACTGTATTGACGGGAGTTTCCTGTACATTTGAAAACTGCTCAAAATTACAAGGTGCGAATCTGTACTTTCAGCTTTAGAGATCGGTCCTCAGCCTCACGGAGTGGTGAGGTCCGACATCTACACGGCCATGAAAGACGGCCTGCAGCACACGCTCGATTGGGTGCGGCTCTTCAACTCGGGTATGTGAAACCACTGCGAGCACGCGGGCGATTCGGGTCCTGCCTCACTTGCTCGTCTTCTGTGGTTTCAGGCGCCGTTTTCGAGGGAGGGCCAGTAGACCTATTCACCGCGGTTGGACATGTCGACTATCCAAGAGAAGCCGACACTCAAAACATCATGGCGGCGATTCATCCGAAACTTCAGGTACAAAACTCTTGTGGGGATCGAAACTTCAAAAGAGTTGCTCTTCGTGACAAATCTGACGACGATTAGGAATGGTTTACAACCCTACGGCCGAAACACATAACCTGTTGTTTTCACAATATTTCAACTTTTTGTTTTGTATTCTCTTAAGATTAACATTTATTCTCTAAATAAAATAAAAATAATTTTTAAAAACACTTCATTGGTTGAAGAAACAAAGTACTCTTCTCTTTGGGTTGTATGACAAGACTTGATTGTCACAAGATGGGCTTGAAAAAAAAAAAAAAAAAAAAAAACATGTGACTTCATTCTTAGTAAAAATCTAATTTTAAACCTGAAAAATTACCCCAAAAAAATCTATAAAAACAAAAAAATGTCAGATGTATTAATTCATTTCATAAAATCCTTGAAGTTTTTCTAAAAAATATGACTTAATTCTTGAAAAAAGAAACCCTGAACATTTGTGGTAATTTGAACCTTTTTTTTTCTGTTGAGGAAAATCCCGTTTTGTTCTCTGACAGTTAGAACTTTTGACTGTAAAAAAAAAAAAACAAACAAAAAAAACTGTCTATTGTCTCAGGAAAATCAATTGGTATAAGTAAAAGGTCTCTTCTGGCAGGACCAAGACTTCTGCCTGCTGCGCCCCGAGGAGCCCATGTTCCAGACGTTTTCGGGCCAAACGCTGCGCTACAAGGGCAGCGAACCTCTTTATCCCTTCTTCATCAACGAGTGCGCCTATTATGAGAAGGGCGTGGCGCTCTACCTGGCCAGGAAGAGGAGTGTTACCCTTCCTACGCTGCGGGTGCACAAAAAGGGGCATCCGGCTAACTTTGTGTCAGTACAGGAGGAGGAATGAGACCAAAAAAAAAACAAAACCCCACACCACCACTTAGGACAATCAACACAAACGTATGAAAAAAAAAAACGTTTTATTTCAAAACGGCACATGCACGCTTACATATCACACATCAAGAGCAGGTCGCATCCATATTGAACCAACATTTGTCATTGCCTAGAATGTCATTGAAATCTAAGGATTTTTAAATGTCCAAAAAGCAGAACTTCACGACAGCCTGCAACTTTTAAAAAAAATCGAGCAGCAGGTGTAGCGCCATATGGCTGTTAGGGTACATTCATTAAAAAAAAAAAAAAATCTGCTTGCAGCAATGTATTTTAGTGTTGTTTCTACTCTTTGTTGGTGTGCAGAAATAATGGGGGAAGGGGTGGAACGAACAAAAACAGGACATATGAAACTGAAAAAAACAGTGAAGTGCTGACAAGTGAAAACAACAATAGCTATCAAAACGTAAACAAAAAAAAGAAAAGCGTTCAAAATAATAAATAAATAAATGCCAACTTAGTTTACAAAGCAATGTACAGTTGTAATTATTCACCAAGGAGCTACCGTCATTCTGAAAAGAAGAAAATGAGAGGACAAAAAGGTTTGAATTTCTACGAGGGAATGGCAGACTCCCTCGTGAACCGAAATGCAACAGTGGTGTTTTTTCACTTGGCTTTCAACAGTGTGCTTTTCGCCCCACCTCCTAAAAGTGTGATGGTTTCTCCCCCACAAAAAATGAAACTTGATTTTTGTAACCTAGTGGTTATTCTCCCTTGTAACATGACACTTTTTATTCTCCAAAGATACAATAATAATAATAATAATAATAATAATAAGACTATTGTCTTAGGTTGGCAACTCCTTTTTTTTCCCTTGACAAAAGTAAAACCTTGTACAGCTATGCCTTTTTTCCCTCATAATAACATTTTAATTCTATTCTCATCTTTCCAGAAATATGACTTTTTCATGACAGACTTAATGTTTTTTTTTGTCATTAGAAACGATTATATCTTGAAATATTTTGTCACACAAAATTCTGACTTTGTTCTTGTAACATTCTTATCTTTTCTTGAAATTGTCAGATTTTTTTCCGAGCAAAATAGGAATACTTTTTGAAACATAATTTCTCAAAAGTTTATCTCCTGATTTTTTTTTCATATATATAAATAGTCATTTATTTTGTGCCCCCCCCCACCCAATATGGTTTCATACTCCAAAGTATACAGTATTCACCGCAACTGTAGGTACGATTTAACCGCTTGTATTGTCTTCAAACAGCATTTCAACATAGCGGCCCGCCGGTATTTCAGCCGTTACACCAAGTGCTGTTCCAAACGAACGAGTCCCTCCGTTTGGACCGTCGGGGACAAGGGCGTCGTCCCGCCGGTTAGGCCACGCGGTAGGCGGCCATGCGGTAGTAATTGCGGCCGTGACTGCGCGCGGCCCACACGAGCAGGGCGGCTGCCATCATGTGGAGGGGCGAGGACATGAGCGCCAAGTAGAGCGACCAGCCCAGGGAGGCGTCCACCTTGTCGGGAAGCACCGAGACCCTGTGGAGCAGGTCTGTCCCCGCAAGGTAGCAACACACCGTGGCCAGTGAGCACAGACCTGCATTGCACGATGTAGGGAAAAAACATATTAGTTAAATTTATTTTTAAAAAAAGAAAAAAAAATCCCCTGAGCTCAAACTTTAGAACGTTGTTCTCTTTTGATTTTTTTTTCTGGAAAAAAACATAACTTGGTGGTATTTAATTCTTTTTAATTTATTTTTTTTCCTTAGCATTCTCTCCCCCCCCCCCTTTCAAAATACAACTTCATTCTCAAAGTACAACTTTATCCGGAAAAATACAACTGATTTATTCTCTTCAAATGAAGACTTTTCCCCCCCTGGGGAAAATACAGCTTTACTCTCTTTTTGTCTTTTTTTTTTTTTTCTTCATGAAGCAAATCAAAGGGGAGTTACCTGTTAACAGGTGAAGTACACCAATGGCAAGCGTGGGTGTGAGGCTTCGGCAGAGGCAGGCGCAGAAACCGATCAGACCCGCCAAGACCTCCAGGCCCAAAGAAACAAGTGGCAGGAGGACCTGGAATCGCCACAAGTCTACGAAAAAACACCAGGCAGGTTGGGCTGTTTGGCGACCGGTTCATTATGATGGATATATGATTAATTTGAAAAATCAACGCTATTGTGACTCCTCACATCACTTGTTGCTAGGGCAAAGTTGTCACTGCACCAATAGCAATGCAGTGAGGAGCTCGGCAGACGGTACCGTCATTTCCCAAAGCAATTCTTACATATATGGCCGGTGGACTTACATGTGCGCAGCATGTCCTCTCCACTGTTGTGGTTTCCGGGTTCCTTGTATTTGGGCATGAGCTGCTGCTGCACGGTGAAGCTTCGGCACCGCAACACCATCTTGGCGCCTGAGATTATCAAAATCGGAATAAGTGTAAAAACGGCAAGCTAAATTGAGATAGCGGCGATGTGATATCTCACTCAAAATGGTCTGCAGAGGAATTGGTGAGTAACAATATCTAATGACCTCGTAAAATGTCAGCTTTACAGATGCCCGTCAGCTGTCCGTATTGTGGTCACCAAGAAGGCGTCTGTCTGAGGTATAGCATTTATTTCTGTTCATTTTTTCCTTCAATGTATTGGTTTTTGTATTTATTTTTTTTTACTTGAACTCAACAGAATTTGAGCATTGTTTTTGAAAGTTAGCACTCCGTATATACATTTTACTCCAACCATATTACATATTTGTATTTTTTAACCTTATTTACATGATCTGAAACGTATCCAAAATAATCGACAGTGGCAAAATTTAACTAGTCCCATTTTTTAATCGGCAAAGAGCTTTAAATATTTAGATTTACTTAAATGTAATATAATTGGTATTTTGAAGATGAATCACTTCTTGAATAAGTGTTTTTCAGAAACAGATTTCACAAAATATATGACAGAATTTGACCACATGAATAAGTAGATACATTTCAACTGATTAGAGAAAAAGCTGCTCTTTTTGGCGAACCGTTCTTGAAAACACCCGAGGGGACGGGTTTGTTTGCCAAGCGTCCACCAGAGGGTACTACAGGAACCCGAAGAACCAGAAACCCAATTTCCTTGTTCATTGTGACATTCTATTTTCTTATTATTTTACGCGAATGTGTTTTTTCTGGCACTCTTAAATATTAGGTTTACTGAGACACATATGTATAAAATAACTGATAATGACAATATTTGAGTAAGTATTAAATATTTTATGCGAACAACGCTTTCAAAACGGCCGAGAGACCAGGTTGTGTCGCCATCCATCCACAAAAGGTCACCAAAGTGTCCCAAGTGACGGGACGTCAAATGGCGACTGTCATTCGGGACGTTTCCGCACATCCCCCGGACTGCCGACCCCCCTAAGGGAAAGCGTGTCGCATGCACGTACCCGGTTCCTTGTACCAGTGCGCGGCGGCGGGCACGAGCACGCAGCGCCACCACAGGCCCACGCTGCCGTTGAGTCGGAACAAAGTGTCGCTGTCGGTCTTCTCATCAAATTCTCCGTCCATGAACTCGTCGTAGAGGCCGCGCAGCTCGGACACGTTGGCCTCGCCGCGTACTGGGGGGCTGCTGTACTGGTACCAGTGCTGCGTGCCCATGCCCACGCACAGATACACGGTGGCCATGAGGCTGAGTACGCAGGCGATCACCAACGCAGTGGCGTAGCGATTGTCCACCATTGTTTCACGTCACGAGTGGAGGAGGAGGGCGGGTGTGAGCATCACGCGAGCCCTGAGTCCGAGCTCTCCCGCCGGATGAGGCGCCGTCGTCTCTGCTGTAGCCGTGTGTCCCCGCCCCCGTGGCCCACTTCCACAGATGGTGCTCGGTTTTAACTGTCAAGACCATCGGGCGGTTTGCGCTAATCCGTCACCTTTTCCTCTTCCGGCCGCCTCCAAAATAACGCCAATCACTCGATTGTTTGCACATTGCTGGATGGATTCTAGTATTTTATTCGTTCCGTTAATAAGCCATCGAGATTTTCTCGATAAATAAATCAACCAAAGGCTGGAAACTATTCATAGGCGAAAATGTAAAATGAAAAAATATATATAATCGATCATTGTAAACTGTTGTTTGGATTGTGATTCTGAGAAGCACAGTTACAGCCTCTTAGCTTTTATTTGTTCCAATTGTTTCATCTTGCAGTTCTCATCTCAGAGCCGTATATCTATAAATATTTACATTTTCTTATGAATTTGGAATATTAATTTGAAAATACTTTTTATTAGTCTCTCTTTTTAAAAACGAAGGTAAATCTGAACCAACTGTTGACTTGAGATCTTTCTTGAAACAGACGTAAATTACTGACAAAAGCGGGAATGATTTGCAGCAATATCTGATTGTAAATAACATTTGAAATACTATTGGAATATGTGTATATCTGCGAAATCTAATAATTAGATTTTCCTTGAAAGTTTCTCCCACCAGCAACTTTTCATACATAGAAAGTGATAAGTGGTGAAGAAACGTATGTTACATTTTTTTTCATATTTTAATGTTATTCAAAGCTTTTCTTCAAATTATTTTTAGACAAGTCTGATACTGAACAATACAACTGATGCAATTTAAAAAAGCGTAATCCTTTTATTGTAATACAGTATAATGACGTTTAAATGGATGACATGTATTCATATGAACAATATATATTTTAATAATTGTTGCTTGTTTGCGGTGAGTGATGAATTCATATTTTCTCCGTATGGCTGTGGGCTTTCTGCTGAAATCATGCATGTATGTTGAGGAGTGCCTCACATTGTATGTTCATCCAATGCGGCTGTTATGAAGAAAATTGGCTTTTGTATTGCTTTTGTGTGGGTGGGTGAAAACAAAAAAACAAAACAAAGTGCCACTTCAAGTCTCTGACAAAGGGGCCCTGCCTTGTGTTATTATTCTGCCAAACCTGATCCACTGGCGTCAAGAACAACAAGTGTACCCGCCTATTGTGTCGTGTTATTGTAGGAAATGTCATCGGTAGTGCTTTTCATCCCACATGTAGCTGGTCAGAACCTTCAAATAACCATCACGCAAACTCGAAAACACCTTTTTTTTTATTGTTGGGTCTCACGGCATTAGATGCATACATGAATGACATTGCATTGTCCTTATTCGATAAATAATAACCATGGTCATTGTGCATTAAATAGAATATATTAAAATGACAATTTCATAACCACAAAAATACCTCTGAAAGTGCATATCTGGTTTGAAACCCTGTGGTAGAATGAAATAATTAAAACTGCAAGTTGGGGAGGAAGATGTCTTTTCATTGATGACTGCCAGTAAGGGGCGCTGATGAATTCCTTAGGGTGGGACCACCGTCATTTGATCTGGCTCAGTGAATGTCCGCTGGAAATAGCTAAACAAGCCTAAAATGGCCGCTTCAATCCAAAATGGCTGACAATCCGTGTCGGCCTGCCTACTGACTAGCATGTCAAGAGAAAGCGGAGTTGGGGGCTGACTCCCCACTTCAGGAAAAATAAGTCATTTTTCAGTCATTGATGGAATTTTTGCATTTAAATAGAAATTAAATAAAATTGATAGCAGTGCTGAATGTGACTTGATCAGTGCTGACACTTTATTGCTGTGTGGACAGGATCCACGAAAGAGCCGCCAGACAGGATGCGCTGACCAGGCTGGTCTTGCGGCTCGCTCCGCTCGTAACTGGAAAAACACAATCTCATTTTAGTGCGAATTTAGAGCAACTCGAATTCTGTTTGAGATTAATTGAAAACAAACAAACAAATGTACCAATTCCTTCGACGGTGATGGAACTTTGCTCGATGTCAAAGCCGCTGACAACCGAGGCGGCGTCAATCAGGACCTCGGAAATTGCCGTGTTGTTCGGCGCTATGTTGTTAAACTGGAGGTCCATATCGTTGATGACTGAGCCATGTCTGCCAGTGAAAAGGACAAAATATATGCAATATTAATTACAGAAGAAAAGCTGCCTTTTTTTCCCGTCTCAAGAAGCGAGCACGTGAAAGCAGAAGGCTGGACACTGAACTAAAAATTACAACAGCTCTGTCACTGCCTGGGGAATTTTTTAAAAATCCTTACTTATGGTACTACTATAATGACAAATGTTCAAATTATGAACACTGAGAAGTACAGTATTGCAAAATTGCTAACATGGAGCAGAGTAGTAACTTGAGAATGGAAGGTTTCATTCGGTTGGGAAATGTGGAAGAAAGATGTAAGGATTTAAAATGTGCCTTCATTTGGGAATTTTAGTGTGTGGATTTCTGAAAAAATGGGAATTTGGGGGATGGGAAAATAGTTCCACAAATTTGAAAATGAGAAATGTGATAGGTTGAGTTAAAGTTTTTTTTTTTTTAACATTTCTGCATTGAGTTTGAAATTTTATTTTGGAATTGTGGACTATCGAAATAGTACTGCTTATGTCCTGAATGGGCTGAACATTTTGACGTTGAAGTGACTTGAATAGTAATGCAATAAAGTAGCGAAATGTGGAAGAAGGAAAAAAAACGAAAATGTTCGTCCATTTGTAGAGAATATTTTTGTCATGAAAAATGACAGGATTTGTGGGGAAAAGTAACCCTTGGATGCACCCTGTAACCTGCTAACACGATGAGCTGTCCACTGTCGTAACCACTGTCCCTCAAAGGATTAAAGAATGTCAATGTCCCGAATGAGCTGAATATTTTGACTTTGGACTCAAAAGTTTTAGAGAGACAAATGCGTTTCCAGGAACTGAAAACAAGAGTTTGTTTTTGTGCTGAATAACCGCTCGTCACCATCCATGCCATAAGCCAACAAAATCAGCACAAGCACGTTACCTGAATCCGATGACAATCAGGATCCTGAAGATGGAAGGAAATGCCCTTTGGAATAATGGTTGGAGCTGCAAAAAGGAAAACAAACAAAAAACTCAGTGCTTTCGTAGCAATCTATTGGTAAAATAACGTAACTCCAGTGACCAGTAGTTTATCAATTTTCTCCCGTGTTTCTTACCTGGCTTTTTATCATGGTCGATCGAAACATGAACTGGGAAGACGACTGATTCAGCAGGTCATTCGTAAATGTGCTCTGAAGAGATCGGAAAGAAACTCGCCGAGTTATTATGGTAACGGCAGTTGCCGTCGTCGTAGTGGCCACATGTGTTGCTCCTGGCACGGTTGTGGTGAAAATTCCCGTTGCGGCAGCATTTCCTGTTGTGGGATTTGTCGCAGCATTCCCTGTCTTTGGATTTGTCGCTGAAATTCCTGTGACAGAATTTGTCGTGTTTTTTGTGGCAGAATTTGTTATGGCATTTCTTGTCGTGGAATTTGTCGCTGCATTTCCCGTGGTGGATTTAGTTTCGGGAAGTGTTGCTGTGGTTGACACTTGTGCTGGAGTTCCCGTCACTGCTGCGGTGGGCGGTGATGTTATCGTTGTGGTCCCTTTCGCACCTTCCGCGGTTGTCAGCAATGCAGTTGCTGTTGTTCGGACTGATTCTGTAGATGTTTTTGCGAGAGTGATTGCTTTTGTTGTTGTCAGATCAGGTGTCGCCGTGATTCGAGATGTTGCGACAGATGCAAATCCAGCTGTTGATGTTTCTGAAGGTGTGGGATGAGGTGTCCCTGTTGTTGCAGTTAATGGTTGTCCAGTTGTTCTTGTTGTTGTTCCTGCTGCCGTTGGGGGAGCAGGTTCTGATGTTGTGGCTGCGGTTGATGTTGGTACACTTGTCTGCGCGGTTGTTGTCTGAGAAGCCGCCGTATTTGTTGCCTCAGATGCCGGGGACGCCGCTGTTGTTGGCAGTAATGTTTGCACAGTTGTTTCAACAGGTGTTGCCGATTCTGTTGTGGTGGCTCCAACGGCCATTGTTGTCAGAGCAGGTGATGCCGTCTCGGATGCTGCTGGCACTGCTGCGCTTGTAGAACGTGATGTTGGCCCAGTTGACTCCGGAGTTGACATAAACTCTGTGGTGGGCGCAGTTGTTTCGGCGGTTGTAACAGACGTTGCTGTTGTTCCACTCGTCAGCACAGATGGGACAGAAGGTGTGAATGTTTCACTGCTTGCTAATGATGTTGTCAAGGTTGCTGTTGTGGTGGGAGCCGATGTTTGTATAGTTGTCTGACGCGTTGTTTCTGATTCAGCAGTCGTGGCTCCAGCTGTTGTTTCAACAGTTGCAGTCCCACTTGTCGACCCAGTAGGCATTGATATTTCACTTGTTGCTGCCGATGTTGTCAGGGCTGTTGTCGCTGTGAGAGCCAATGTTTCCACAGTTGTCTGAACTATTGATTTTGAGGCTGCGGTCGTGGCGAGAGCTGTTGTTTCAGTAGTAGCTTCCTCTGTTGCCACTCCAGCGGGTGTTAATGTTTCACTCGTTGGTGCAGATGTTGTCAGGGCTTCTGTTGTTGTGGGAGCTGATGTTTCTGTCGCAGTGGTTGTTTCAGATTCTGCAGTCGTGGCTCCAGCTGTTGTTTCAGTCGTTCCTGCCCCAGTTGCCACCCCATCAGGAGTTGATGTTTCACTTGTTGCTGCAGATGTCGTCAGGGCTGCTGTTGTTGGGGGAGTCGATGTTTCTGTCTCAGTGGTTGTTTCAGATTCTGCAGTCGTGGCTCCAGCTGTTGTTTCAGTCGTAGCTTCCCCTGTTGTCACTCCAGTAGGTGTTAATGTTTCACTTAATGCTGCAGATGTTGTCAGGGCTGCTGTTGTTGTGGGAGCCGATGTTTCTGTCTCGGTGGTTGTTTCAGATTCTGCGGTCGTGGCTCCAGCTGTTGTTTCAGTCGTTCCTGCCCCAGTTGCCACAGCATCAGGAGTTGATGTTTCACTTGTTGCTGCAGATGTCGTCGGGGCTGCTGTTGTGGTGGGAGCTGATGTTTCTGTCTCAGTGGTTAATTCAGATGCTGCACTAGTGGCTAGAGCTGTTGTTTCAGTCGTAACTTCCTCTGTTGTCACTCCAGCAGGTGTTAATGTTTCACTTGTTGCTGCAGATGTTGTCAGGGCT